TAGAGTCGGATGAATAGCGACGCTACGGAAAGGAGAGAAAGATTCGCTTCCCGGTTGAAAGCCGTCGGGAAAAATGCGCGATTCTACGAGCCAGCCGAGACGACGCTCGGTGATTCACGAGCGTTCGATTCGCGCGGAAGAACCGTTTTCGTCGGCGGACGGGAGAGCGGACGGAATAGCGGACGGGAGAGCGAAGGGGAGAACGCGCGGGCGGAAAAGAGGGTGGAAAAACGGAGCGTGTAACCTCGGCGTCGATGTCCTCGAAAACACGGGTGAAAAAAAAACGCGCGCGGTCGTCGAATCCCGTTCCCGGCTCGACTACGAGCAGGTCGTTCTCGCCGAGTCGAAGTAGGCGTAAGTAGGCAAACCGGGTGTCGCGGATCGCGCTCGTTTTTCATTCGTTCCCTTTTCTTCTTTTTTTCCTCGGTTTTTGCACGAGGCCAGCCGCGCACGAAAAGGTCGAACCGGGTTTCGTCCGACCGAGGGAGGAAAAAGTGGTCGAGAACGAAAAGTCGCGGACGCGGATAAAGAGAGGAGTCTCCGGCGCGCGGTGCGGAGTGGAAGGGAAAACGGAAAAGGAGATACGGCGCGTGTGCAGTGCATGCTCGCGTTTAGGAGCCTCTCGGGGCGTGATACTTACGAGCTCGCCTCGTTATTTCGTATGCGCGATCGAGATCTCGTTTCCTTCGCTCGCCGCGCGAAAACTCGGCGGAGGCGTTAGCCGAGACCTCTTCGACTCCCGTGCCGAGGAATCTCGTTGACCGGTTTAAAGGCTAAGCGTTCGTTTTACCCGCTAGAGCGTAACCTGGCGAACGAACGTGCCGACCGAATAATAATATCGCGCGATCGGGCAATAAGATGTCCGTTCGTTCGCTCGCACCCTCGTGTCGTCCGTCGCTCCCAAACGGGAGCAGAAAACTCTTCGAAATCGTTCGCGTTTCGCTCCGACTCTGCTCGAAGAGTCGGTCGCCTTTGAGCCGCACCTTCTCTCGGTCGACCAGCCGAAACTATTCGAGGAATTTCCTACGGGCCGTTCACGGTTATCGGGAAAAAAAGAAAACGCGAAACGAGTTCCGATTTTCGGCAAATACGCGTATACGGGTATAGAGGCGCGACGCTCGGAAAAATTGTAATCGTCGCGAATCGATCGGTCGCGTTTCCACGTGGCAACGGACGCGACGCGACGCGACGATCCGAGTAGCAGAAATTCTTGCCGCGCAGGTACGAGACAGCCCGTCCTCCTTTCTCCGCTGTTTCTCGGCCCTCTCTCCCGACCCCACCGACCCCTTTCCCTTTTCCGTTTTCGTTCTCGTTCTCCTTTTCTTTCTCTCGTTACGCGCCCGTAAACTTCTCCTCTTTTTTTTACTTTTCGCGTGGTTTCGCGTTTTTCTGCTCGCGTGGCTGGAGTTTAGCCGCGTTACGCTCGCCGAGGCGCGAGCGCGAATAAATTTGATTCGCCGGGAGTCGCGGCAACGACCGAACAACGAGGTTCGCGGTCAAATCGCGTGAGCGCGCGAGGTCGTCGACGCGGCGTTCGAGTTAAACGACGACCGCGGATACAGGTAGGTTCGGGATATCCGTCGGTCGCGATCGAGCTCGCGAAACTCCAGAGGAAACGGTAGCGAAAGAGAGGAACGAAAGAAAAAGAAAACTCCGCGAAGATCTCGGAGAGCAGATAAGCTCGCGTGGCTGTCAACGGAGCGGCCGAGGCACGGGAGCGCGCGAGGCGCGTGCCGAAACTGGACCGGAGAGCAATTTCCGAGGAATCTTATCTCTCGTTCGCATCTTCGGTATCGAGTTACCGAAAGGACCGTTCGCACCGAACCGACACCACCGCGCCGTTTCTCCTTTTTCTTCCGCTCTCGCGTTTCTCTCGGTCGTACCGCGTCGCGTCGCACCGCGTCGCGAATACCGTCGGCATATAGCGTTTATTCCGGTTGGAATAGAGGGCCCGATCGGACGGATAAAACGATCGAGACGAAATAGGTCGAAGAGTGGGCGCGCGTAGCTACGACGGACTTACAAGGAAACCCTTCTACGCGGTCGGCGCCGTGGCGCCTCGGCGTTGAGCCGATCGGGAACAGGGGACACGGGGACACGCGGGAACACGGGATGGGATGAGTCGTCGAGCGACGCGACAGCGGCGGCGGCGGTCTTTGACTCTTGTCCGATGGTCGCGCGACGTTTTCAGCGAAAGCGGCCGAACCGCGACCGATCGCCGAACGAAACTCGTTCGTTCGGCATCGAGAACCGAACCGGTACGCGATCGAATCGATCGGACGACGCCGTCTCACAGCGAAGGTTGTCGAACCTGTATACGTCGGCGACAGCGACAGAAATCGGTCGAAATCGAAGAAATTTGCCCGGGCCTTCGCGCTTTCCGCGGTGGTCGTCGATCTCGCGTTTCAGAGCAACGGACGAGACCGATCGAAGCACGACCACGGGTCTAGCTGGCGCCAGATGCCCCGTTCGTTCCGGCGCCGCGCGCCGTTCCAACGCCGAAACACGATTACTCTTCTAACCGGTTCCCATTAAACCCGAACGTCTTTCTTCCCCGCGTCCGACTGTCCCTTCGATCCTCCCGTCGAACCCTCGCCTCCATCGGCCGCGACGCCGACGACGACGTCGTTTTCGCGAAAATCGCTGACCGCCGCACCGACGAAATCGTGAACTGCCGCGATGGACGAAATCGCGAATGCGCCGCGACGTGAACGCGCGCGAAAATCGCGGCGACGCGACGTTAAAAAGCCCTGGACGATTTATCGCGCCTCTTTCGCGTCGCGTTCTCGAACGTTTCGCTGTCGATAAGCCCGATAGGCGCGATCGTAAATCGCGCGACGTCGAACCTGTCTCGCTCCGTTTCCGTCGCGCGATTCGCGTTCGCCCCGTACGCGAAAAATCTCTTTAGCTTTCGACGATTCCTCGAAGCTGACCCGTAAACCAATCTCTGAACTTCGCAAGACATCTTGTATTTCGTACATTGGTGAAACCTGCCAATTCGTGGTTCGTCCGAATCGATTCGCGTTAATATCAAAGACGTCCCATAATCTCGTGACTTTTTCATTCCGCGTAGTCTACATTTTCGGCATTGCTTACCGTTTAAACGAAACGCGTATTTTTGCAACTTTATTTCGTTCGTGTCCTAATTTATAGTCGAAACAAGTTCAACATAAAGGTTATTATTTCGAGTACGCCAGTGTGATTTCGCTACCATCGCATCTAACATTCGTATATCGAATTTTTACGCGCGCGATGAATAAATCGCATGCAAGAACTGTCGAAAAAAATAATCGCGTACGACCCGGCAGAAATACTTCGGCTCTCGTTTTCCGCGTTTATCGTGGCGAATCATCCGCGACGATCGCTCGCTAGTCCGATGGAACTAGCGTACTTCGAATTCGCGTGCGATAATTTTTGAAATATTCGAATCGGCGGCCGGTGGATTCCGACGGACACGCGACGCTGGAAAAAATCGCCGGACGTTCCTCGAGGAGGAAGTATCGGGTCGGAAAATCGATTTTCGCTTGCGGTTAAGGAACGCCGAAAGGGTAGAGAAGCGCGCGCGAACCTTTGGTCCCGCCTACACGGATCTTATTCGCAACCGCGATGGCCGCTATCCCGTATCTTCGATTCTACGCTCGGAGCGGAGTCGCGCCTCGAAGGTGGAGACGCGTCTGCGCGCGCTCTTTCTTTCTCTCTCTCGCGCTTTTTCTCCATCCCCGTTCGTCGTCGTCTCTCTCTCTCTCTCTCGTCTCTCTCCGTTTCTCCTGGACGTTCCTCGGCCCATCGCCCTTCAACGTTCGGTCGGCGCGACGCGTCCCCTTCGCCGAAGGGCCAACGACCGCCACCCTCTTCGTTCGAATCTCGATTATCCCTGTTTAGTCGGTTTGGAAAAATTCCAAGCTGGTGGTAATCGTTTTGTTCGGTGAAACGCAGATGCCGCGGTGTTAGCTCTCGGGGAGGATGTTCCACGGGGGCGGAAGCGGTGGTTACGGCGCGAGTTCCGACTACCAGCAACAGTCTCAGCAGCAGCAACAGCAACACGGCCAACAGCTCCAGGCGCCCGTCTACGTTCCTTCCTCGAGGCCGACCATCCCTTCG